CTTTGGGATTGACACTCCAATGTTGCATCTATCGAAAGACAACTCACTGGTTTTATTACATCAATGATTTGGCAAAAACCAATACTACAGAGGAAAAAGTATAAAAATTTTTCCTCGTTGCATGGGAGGAAACCGAAGGGACTACATACAAGGTAAGGGAGAGGCTATTCGCTTAAGAAAACAACTGAGTGAATATTTCATGTATTATAATCCTTATTTGGGGTAAAAAACCCTTTTCAATTTAGGCCCAGGAAAAATGTCAAGTCCAACAAGCTAAGGTATCTATCAGTATTACTGTGCTAATATGATTAGATGATTCTACAAAGATAAAGGAATATGAACATAGGTCCTTCAACAGCTTTGAAAGGGGAGCATGCACAGCCAAAATTTCTTTTTCTTTTTCCTTTGTCATCAATGAGAGAAAACAAAAACAAATAAGGAGGTTGGTTTAATTATCTAAGATCTAATTAAATATAATACAAAATTGAACTAGAGGACTAGAACCTCATCTAAGCCGGATGAACACAAGAAAACAGGTGTGGTATTCCTGCGAGGCCAGTTGGTGAATGACAGAGAACGGTCAACCTTGGCTAAAAAAAATGGTTTAGAATAGCAAAACCTCTGCTATTTGGTTAAACATTTTACTACCATGCACAGAGTATCAACCAATATTCCCCCTGATGGTAAGAAAAGGAAACCCTTAAATCACTGAAGACAAAAAACAAGGGGATGTAAACTTAATGAATCTTCTGCACTTAATGAATGCTTGAAACTGACAAGGAAAATGACCTGGCATTCATGCTGGTCTAGGAAAAACACGACAAATTTCAGCAAGAAATGAGAACGATAGCTTTCTTACCCACATCTGTACAGGTTGATTAAAATGAATTTCGGCAAGGTACTCCATCTCTGGATCTGCCCTAATCCACAACAATGGAGAGTCTACACTGCAAAAAAACAATTTAATATGGAAGAATCTGTTAACTTGATCTTCAGGAACAAGATATACAGCACACAGTGTTGAGATAATAAAATACCTAGAGCGCACGTCTAAACTGGGCGTATCACCATTATCATCAGAGCCATCAGGTTTTGAACCCTTTTTAGGCTTCTGGTAGCGTCTAGCAGCAAGCTTTGAGTGACATGCTATTTCCAGCAGCTGCCATGCATCTCCAGACATTGGAAGGTCCGGATGATCAGACATGCCATCAAGTTCATAAACCCTGACAGTCATAACCCCAGGCCATCCGATATCACCATCACGGTTTTCAGAATCGGGGTTAGCATTCGGAACTGATACACTTGAATCTAGTGTAGCTGTGCATTCCCGCAAAACTGCCAACTCAATGATATTTTTCCGCTTGTTGTAGGAAAACCCCATCCTTACAAATTGAGGGTAAGAAAGAATATACCATTTAAGCAAATGAAACCATAACAGAATCCCAAAACACAAAGACATAAAATGCATGATTCACTTAGATCATACCTAAGCACTGGACATCCATGTGATCCTACCCACCGAGGGAAAAATTCTTTGAGAAACGGACGCTCCAGATTTCCAATTTTGTTAGCAAAATGCCGGAACTGCAGATAACAGTTTATAGCTTAATAAAGGAAATATACAAGCAACTAATAACAGTCTAAATATTAAATGAAAACTATTACATACTTTGTGAAAGAAAACAAAAAAACTACAAATCATGGCAATACTTTCTTGCATTCCCTGTTATCCACAAAAAACAAATAAAAAATATAGTCACACAAAACAATAAATCCCTAACAACTTAGTTACTTTAAAAAAGAATATTGTAGATGCATCAAATTTTAAATTAACTCAACATCATCATATTCTATTTTTATTGTCACTATTGTGGTTACCTAAACACTTAATATTAATTATTATATTTGTCATCATAATTGGTATCAGTTAATCTCTTTTTAAACTATGTCATCATAAGCAGGCCTATGCCACTAATTACCAATGAAGAATTTGAGTCTTCAGAAATGCTCGACCAAATTGAAGATTATTAACAAGGAATTAGCTTGGTATTAGTGATAGGATTCCAAAATCAATCCCAAGATTTGGAATAATAATTAAAAAAAAAATGGGTTTAATGGACTAGAAGCTCAAAATCAGATCCAATCTTTTAGCCTCCTCTATATAGCTCAAATACCTGCCATGTGTCATCCATGATGCATGACTAACAACACCTTAATTATTACCACTTGTCAACTGTATCCATACTCTTTAACAACACAATTTTGTCCTATTTCTTGTTTTACTGGTTATTACTCTATCAATGAGCAATCCTGCCTGACCTGCCTAATTGCCACCTCTAGTTTCATCTGACATATTAAGCACATTCTCCTATCAAAATTTGCCCACTAACAAATTCACTGCACTAAGAACAGCATCAGGGAATTTATTTTATTTTACATAATTTTTTCCTTCTACGATAGCATATTCTGGTGACAGTATTGTCATTATCTTAGTCATATATTCTAACCATTTTACCTATTTTTACCAAACAGAAGGAATTGAAACAAAGAACAAATTTCAATCATTTCAGTTTTCAGTGAATTCAGATTTTCAGAGGATTCCAATTAAAATAGTATGCATATCTGGTTAATTAGGTTATATCTAAAATTTAATCAAACTAACCAAACCGACTCACTGTTCACCCCTTCAATAAAAGGATCAGCCTAGTAAATGCCATCATGTTAAGAAGCCAAACCATACAAAAAACTGAAAATCAGCAAAAACAATAACTAGCTCATACAAAGGTAAGAAGTAACAGAATTATGATCACCTCTTTTGTGCTAAGAGACCTCACAGGACAGGTTGTACCTTGTGCACGAGAAATTATTGCTTGCAAAATCTGCATATAACAAAAGAAAACCAAGAATAAAAGAATATCAATAAAAGAAGTGGATTCCACCATCCAGAAATGTCTCAATAAATAAAATGCACTCATCAAAGAACATTGGAAATGGGAGGAGCTAAGAGGGATTGGTGTTAACCACCCTCCACCACCGCGCCCACACCCCCAAAATCCTCCAATTAGGGCAAATACAAAAGTAAAGATGATAGGCTGTCACCTTTTTAAAGAAGTCAGGTCCCATTTGCTTTTCCAACATCTGAAGGATTGCCACCTTCAAGAGGAAAAAAATTAATCAACAAAAAATCCAAAAGACATAATCCCTCCATCCCATTAACTTTTTTGGTCAAACAAACTAAATTTTGATCATTATTATTAACAAAATCATGAAGTTATCAAAATTTTAAAAATAATAGTTGCAATTTGAACTTTAACTTTTCAAAACATAGTTTTTGAAATTTTAATTCAAATATGATGTTTTAAAAGATAGTGGTCAAAGTTGAGCTCCTTTGATCAAAAAAGTCAAACAAGGACAAACAAAATGAGACAAAGGAAGAAACAAAAGACAACAATTTTGGGTTCCCTTGGTCATCTCTGACTCCCACTTGAAACCATTTGATTGTTACAAAAAGAATTTTGTGTTCCATTGGTTGTCTCTAACTCCCACTTAAAACACATTTGATTGTTAAGACAACAATTTTGTGCTCCCTTGGTCATCTCTAACTCCCACTTGAAACACATTTAATTGTTATTTTTGCCACTTTTGCTTAATTTTATTAAAGGTTTAACTTTTACGAATATCATAATGCATGATTCTACTTTCATATGAAATAATTATTTTTGAATGTGTATTACATTTTATCGATTCACTCATTTTAAACAAATATGATTTTCCTTTATTCTCAATTTATACCTTTTACTCTTTACATTACTTTTTAGCACTTTCAAAGAAGTAAAAAGTAATACCAGATGAAGGCAAAACTATTTTCACCTTTATATTCTAAACCAGACTCCTTTAATTCAAGGTTTATTTCATCATTCCAGTCTATGTAGTAAACAATAAGGGAGTAAGCATAACATCTTTACAATAAAATTAATAATTAGTGACTTACAGATTTCCATGATCGTATTTTTCCATTCAAGCCAATGGAATGGGTTCCATACAAATCCTTGCAAGCAAAAGAGGAACTCAAAGCTGTTGCACCACTATCATCAGCTTTGCACACAGCACAATTTGCCTATATTTACATTAACAAAATTGCATTATTTTGCATCTGAAATTGTGAAAAATTAGCAATTTACATGTCTGCATGCTTATCTCCTAAGGAGAGGAGAAAAAACTACATTTGAACAAAACTAAAAAACATAGTTAGAATCATTTCATAGCACTACCACATGGCCACTTTCCATCCATAGCAAGAAATTGATATAACAATGCTAAATTTAGAGAGCTTTTAAATATCAGCCTCCAGTAGCATTTGAAACAAAAATCACGATGCTATTCTCTATACGACAACAGCGATAACTACTAATACTATTTTTGGCTGTAGACGATACACAAACACACACGAAGCAACAGTAGAATCATTGACAGAACCAGGTGGAGCAGGCTGGGGCTGCACCCCTCTCCTCAACCACCAAGATTCTGAAGGCAGATATCAGAATTGGTACCTCTTAAGCACCTTAATCAGCAAAACTGGAATTCAATGAGCTACTAGAGGCACATAAATCCAGAAAACTGTGAATATTTGGCACTTGCAATCTTTGGTACAGAAGACTTGTATTTAGATAGATCATCCAGAACCTCATATATTTTGATCCAAAACCCCATTATAATTGTTGTTCATCAAAACCATGCTAATTTATCAAATTTCATAAAGTCCCTAAATAAGATAAGAAATTTTCCAGTAATCACTAAAGATACTTCTTAATAAAAATGAGGAAACAAAAATCAGAAAAGATAGCAATATTTTTTCTGCTTCTCCCTTGATTAAGATGGACATAGTAAATATATATATATGTGTATGTGTGTGTGTGTGTGTATATATATACACATGCCTCCATAGAAAACAAACCTTGTATCTTCGATACTGTGCCTCATTATTTCCCAAAAATTTCTTGATAAACAAATCTGTCAAAAAACCAGCAAGACCATCCAGCAGCCACTCTGACGATAAAAATTTAAGCAGCCATATGAGCACTAACACATCTTTTCTTTCTTTGACAAGCAACAGATATCTTTTCTTTTTTTGACAAGCAACAGATATCTTTTCTGCTAAAGTTTATCAAAATAAATTAGTATCATTTGGATCAAATATCAATCAAGCAATACAAGAAGCCATTATCCATCAACATACCATCAGTTGGTGCCTCTGGAGTAATATATACCCCAAACCACTGTCTTGCAAGGGCAAAAGCAAGTTTGATGCAAGTGTCTATTGTCTGTTAAGTCAAAAACATACTTGTCAACAACAGCACAAAGGACAACAAAAGCTTCAGAAATGGTTATGTTATCAAAGATATAATAATGACGAATACACCGCAGTTCACGCACATATATAGAAGTTCAACTAACTTCTAAAGACAACAAGCATAAAGCACCCACAAAAAAGCAGAAACAACCAAAATTTTAAGAAAACACAGCATTAGAAACAAGACAACGCACATTTCAATCGCTATGAATTATCAAACATCTAAACTAAAGCCAATTCATTAGGTGGGAAAATTTTGCATGAATTTGAATCATAACAAACCCAAAACCAATAAAATAACATCACTTAACACTTGCCATTAACTGTAGGCCAATAAAACAACTGAGCCAAACAAACCTATTACAAGGATGACAACAATGAAACTAAGTTTTTAATACCATTTTAAAACATCCAAATAAAACTTATCACGGATAAGTTGAGAGCTTAATATGATTATAAGGCTGCAACCAAACCTAAGGACCAATATTCATGTTTTGTCACAAAGACCAAATATTTGCCACTTAACCAGTATATGTAATTTCAAACACTGCTGCATCGATCAATGTCAGTTCTTAGAAACCTTGCACTGGTAGTTTTTCACATTATATCACATTAAGGCAATTGACAACATACTCCTGACCCATAAACCCTAGTGAAGAGTCCAATAAGACCCATCAAATCACATGCATGCAAAATATTTTTACTGATATGTTAGATTAATCATTCTTTTGCCTCTTCCATAAGTGTATATTAAATTAGGAAGTGTTTCCATGCATTTGATAATTCTTAAAAATGACAGGAATCTCTCAAGAAGACTTAACTATCTTTAAAGGCCCATTTGAAAGCTTATCCATGTTGCTTGGAATCAGGTGTAGTAGTCACAAAGTGTCTAACTCATTAATCACCTTAAATCTGAGAGACAGTTATACAACTAAAAAGTCCCAAGGAAGCATACAAGTACAAGGACTTGTTATACATTTAATCAAATAATATATTAATTGAATTATTATGAATTCGATTTGCTCAAATGTGTGTCCTTACAAGTGATAATTTCATTTTGAGAAAACACTACAGAGTGATAATTTCATTTTGAGAAAACACTACAGCAGGATTAAGATTAACGTGACTGCCAATTACAAAGGCACTGCATGGCTTTTGTAAATTTGTACAAGGGATTTTTTTTATTTATTCATTTTTTTCAATTCATAGAAACCAGAACCAAAAACAATGTTTTTGAAAACAATTGAAACAATAAATTCTTACTTCCAACAATTTTAGAAATTTTGGTCTTGTTTTCATTTTCTAGGAAACAGAAGCATGTTACCAAAAATAATTTTTGTAGCTGGTCTCTGAAAAATTGAAGTGAAAACAAAGACTAGAACATAAAAGCAATGCCAAACGACACCTAAGTTTTATTTCAAGTCCTCAAATAGAAGTAAAGTGAAGCATAAATAAAGTCAGCATTCTCTACTGCATGAGTTTGCCTAATTTTCAAACTGAAGAAGGCTGACCACATTGTGTCATGTAATTTAATTTTAAAAAATAAGGCACCCTTCTTCAAAGGCTCTGGTTTGATTTTAACCAATAATTATGAGTGAAAAAACTTAAAACCATAGGAAACTAACGATTTACAGCCGTACAACTTACTTTTCTCAGAGAAGCATGATGGTTGGCTTCTTTCATTCTTGTTTTTTAAATTTCATTGGCAACATCACTAAAATTGGAAGCAAATGAACATATGCAATCCTACAGACAAGCATACAAATGGTCTTTATTGTGCAAGATTGCCATCCCCATCTAGAAAAATGATGCATAAATACCACATTCAAAAGGCAAACTGGTTACTCTTCAGAGACCAATCCAACAAGAGAGGTACAGAAGAGACAGAAATGACTGGCATTTGCAAAGACAAATAATAACAGGAAGAAGAGTAAAATCATCAACCCTGAAAATTGAGAAAACAGAAATAGATATTTAACAATTTGCTAAACCATAGTAAAGAACATATGAAAACTTATGCACTGGACTGGAAGGTTCTTAGTTAACACGAATAGCCAAACGTTCATGATAGATATTGTATCACATTTAATAGCTTAACCATGCAACCTTATGCTCACCATAGAACAAACAATTTATATGGTGTTTAGATTAGACTACCATTTTGTTCGCTTAACGTAATACTGTGTAATATATTTTGAATCTTAAACCATCTCCCTATGTAATATGCAAGCAAGGCTCCATATCTATAAATAAATGAGCCATCAGCAATATGAGTTCAAGCAGCGAACAAACCTGATCTATGACTTTCTCATCAAACAAAACTTGAGAACTAAGGATGCTCAAGGAGGCCCCAAAAGTTGAGGAGGATATGGCCATCTCAGGAGCTAAAAAAACTTGCTTGTATGACCCAAATGGAAACTTTGCATCAAGATACTGCTCATAATCACTGTAGAAAGTATAATGTAAAACAACCACATGAACAGTGTAAGTTGTAAATTTGAATGTAAATATTCCAATCATGAAATGAAAGAAAAGATTTTAATAATTAAGCCAGTGTAACCAATATGAAAACCTGAATGCACTATGGAAAAACTCCACTGTGTTACGTAGCTTTGGCAAGTTAGGTGGTAAACACATGTGCGAAACGAGACCATTATGCTGATCAGGGAGGATTTCAAATGGTCCAACTGCCAAAGATATCCACTGAGCAGTGACAGGAACATCTACTCTGTAGACATATGTCTTGCGAGGAGGGTCATCTTTGCTCAAGACCTAAAAAAAAGAACAACTTAAATATCAGAAGCCTCAACTGTAGGTGACAAATAATTACAATTATCAAAGAGAGGGATGGAAGAACACTAGGCCCATCAAGTTCGGCAATTATTAGTTGAATGGTACAATACTATGGTTAAGAAAACAAGTACCATTGTGAAGAAAAAGATGCTATAACCATCCTTTGTCATGGAACTCAAAAATCTTAGATTATAACACAACCACTGAAATGTTCAACAGGTTATTCAGCTCTCCTTGTGCAACACCAGATAAAAGCATAAAACTCAAGAGTTGACAAATAATGAAGCTCTTTTGAGTAGTCAGACAGTACATGGTATCTACATACTTAAGGAAACTACTGTTTGAAATAAGAATGAAGACTACTATCAAGAAAGTAAGCTAGACGCTAAAAACAGGGCCTGGCATACACTCTATTAACAGATACTGCTAATCCTCTGTATAATTAAGTCATACTTCTGCAGTTGCATAGCAACATTCAGACTACCCTTATTTTGGCTCCATTTCTTCTTAAATTTACCACCCTTACCTATAGGCTTTTTCAGCTCCAACACCTAACTCAGAAAAAATTCTCACCACAAACAGAAACCCTAAAGTGAAGCTTCACAAAATAAGTACTCACATATTAAACTTCAGATTATGTTTTGCTTTTAACATGGCACCGGCCCTAATTACTTTTTTTTAATTATATAAATGGCTATGTTGAATTCTTTGAGCTCTTTGCCCAGACAACTAATCATAATCTAACCTGCAATTGATGCTCCAAAAACATTATAACAAAAGCCAAAATA